GGCTCAAGGTACCATCCCAGAATGATCCAATTTGAGAGGCCATTTGCTTCAGGGGTATCACAGAGACTTGGTGAGTCTGGGGAAGAAACTCTGAAACCACTGGGTGAACTCCTCTAGGTTGGATTTCAAGCCTCTTTCTGGATGGCCTGCAGGTGCCCAGGACACATGAATCTAGACCATAGTATTTTGGAGTGCTACAGGGCCAGCAGAAGACATGATACCCAGGCTGGACATTTTTAGTTCATTCTGTAGGGAGAATGAGTTTTTGCTTTTTGAGTCCTATTAATGACTATGGGGGAAGGATTACACAATTAGAGGGGGTATAGCAGCATTTCCAATTCTCTTTCTATTACCCAAGCTGGTCTCTCTTTTTCAATAAACCTATTAGAGATTATTTGGTTATTTATCAATATAACACTTACTTTTAAAAAGGCACTATGTAACACATTGAGATTACAGACATAACTCCATTGGGGAGCTAACAACCCAGCAGGGAGATAGACAATAACCATACTTGGAATGAGTACCATTAATATAAGTTAGTATAGGGATGCTATGGGAGCATATAGAATGTGCATTTTAACCCAGAATGAGGTAAGAAAAGGATGGAGACAGACTAGAGGTGATATCTGTCCTGAATTTTAAGAAATTATTTTTTCATAGCCCAAGCATTCTTTCATTATGAATGTATTGTACTAAAAATATTTTTATTGTATTAGTTAAATTGATGGTGGTTTTCCACGTTACACACATCCAAAAGAATATCCGATCTTTGCTCCACTGTGTTTGCCTGCAAGCACATGCCAATATTGGGATGAAGCTTTAACAAAACAACTTGGGATCTGTCCATCCTGGTTAGCTGACCCTAATCTCAATCTGGTTCAGACCATATAGGATAGATTAGCTGGTAAGATTCTTCTATTTTTTCTCTCCTCCACAATTATGTAAACCACTGACCCTTCATTTAGATACCTAATAATCAGGTTTAAAATACCAATATCCTTTTGTAAGAATAGCAAATATATGCAACACAATAATCTAGGAATGCTAATATAAAAATCTCTAAATAGAAAAAGTAAAATTCTAATTTCACCTACCTGTGTGTCCTCCCTTTCAAGTTCTTCCCTGGTCCTCTTAGGTAGAGTAACTCATTATGAAGTTCGTTTATACTCTCAAAGCACTTTGCTCATATGTCTTATTATATATCACTCTTATGTCTGTCTTGCCTACTAGACTACGAGTGTTTTCATCATTATCACTGTATCTTTTTCAACTTTTTATCCTCAGTGCACAGCACCATCCCTGGTTCATATTAAATATTCAATAATGCTTACTCAATGAATAAACATGAAGGAAGATACACCTTTGTTAAGGTATTTTCTAGCCACTTCCAGAAGTGATTTATAGGATCTCCTTGTTTACTATTATCTATTTTCAGCTCTTTCATCTCTTTTGTTTACAGGTATATCTTATTTGTTGTATCAGGACCACTGTTCAGATGGATATTTAGGAAATTATATCCTCTAGTACCTCTCAAGACTAACAAGGGCTTTCTGCTTCTGCTTGAAGAAACAATAGCCCTGAATGCCAACTAGACATGGCAGCCAACAAGACTAGAGTTTTCCAAGAAAGAAACCTCCATTTTGATATACAATACTGAAATTATAAGCAACATTCTTAGGTGGACTTGGATATAATACATTCATTTGCCATATGCTTATTGAGTTTCTTTTACGATTTTGTGAAATGCCTTGTTTAATAAGACAAATAAAATGAATATGCCCTCCCAGATTACAATTTAGTAAGCATGTACACTGTAATAATCATTATAGCTAAAGTTTGATGTCTCAGTTCATATTTGGAATATTCCACGATCAATCTAGAAAATTTCTAGTACATTTTATAGAGATATAAGTTGGTTAACAAGTATTCACCTTAAAAAAGAAAGTTATTACAATCATTTTAAAGGTGGGAAACCCAAAATATCATCACAGGGGTGTATAACAAGGACATTCCATAGAAACCTAATTCTAGTTTATTAGTAAAATGAGGAAATTTAACTTATTAAAGCAAATGACATTCTAGTAACCCTACCAAAGTATTCACTTAAATTCAATATCCTTCACTTATCTTCTACACACATGAGAGATTCACAGTAAATTGTGGAGGACTAATGCTTCTGTAGGCTTAATCAGAGTATTTCTTAAGGAAAAGTAAACTTGTGTGGCAAGTCCCTTCCTATCTTGGGTATCAGTGTCCCCCTGCTCTCATATCAGGGGTAGTCCCAGAAAACCACTAAGGAAGCATCCAGTCTAGATAGCTTAGAGGCTCACGATTCTCTAAATTTATATGATTAGCCTCAACTAGGAAAGGCAGATATGGGACCAAACAAGCAATCTACTTGGAATTTACTGCCAACTTTTACATTTGTCATAAAAAAAAAAAAGGAAACCCACTGCAACAATCTCTTTTGTGATGCCTAGAAATCTCTTCTAAATTTCCATATATTAATCTGTCCCATTTTAACTCTCTGGTAATAGGCAATGATGGCACAACAACTTTTGATGGCCCACTGATCAATAAATATTAGTCTTCTACTGAATTGAGAGTAAAAGGTCAAGGTTTTGTTTCTCAATGTTAATAGCATCAAATGAATGATGCAATCAATTTTTCATGACAAACAACTTTGGATAAATATGGTGATAAAAATCCAAGAGATCACAGAGATGGAACTCAATTAGATAATTTTATTTAGATGAGTCTATGATAGGTGGTATGGAAATTATGGCTAAGCTAAACCCTTTTGGGGGGGGCAATAAATCAACCTAATTAATTAATTTTCTTACAATTTCGTATACCAAAAAGAAATCCACTTTTACTCTCTTTTAGGAATATGCCATTCAAATGAAATTTCATCTGTGTTTGTAAAATGTATATTTTCCCATTTGCTTTAACAGTAATAATGAGGAGCTGTACATAAAAAGTAGCTACATAATTTTGTAACTCTGTAGAGAGAAATTCAATACTTTACCTTAAAATACTTTTTATTCTGTAATATTGATAGAACATGATTTTAAATAAGGATGTCAAGTACCTTAAATTCTAGAAATCGTTACATTCTCTTTCTCCCCATGGCCTTGCTTCTTGTTTCTATAAATGCTTATTAAATTGAATTGCTAGATATTTCTATTTTCAGTCTTTAATACCACTTCTTTTGATTTTCATGACAATAACTTAATAATGGGATGCCACATTTTTAAAAATGCAGATTGAAATATCCTATCATACTTCATTGTCGGTCCTGCAGTTCATTGAGAAATAGCTCTAAAGCCTTAAACAAGGCCTTTATTTTGTGTTTTAAAAAAGTGTCATAAGGAGTTAATAGGACACAGCTGTACTGGCTCTTTCTAATAAGCAGCTTCTGTCGCTTTGGTCACCACAGGTGTCTCTGTAACCTGCAAACTCTTATTACTAGTGTATCAAAGTTGTGCTACTTAACAGACTTCTTTAGTAAAACATAACAAAGCAATTACATGGCTGTTGATTGCCAGTCATAAAAAAAACCCCTCAAACACTGTTTTTCAAAAGAAACTACACTGCAATTTTTTGTCATTGTAAAATAAAAGGAACTAAGGAATTAAATGGAGGATAGAACAAAATAACAGCAGGTAGCCCGCTGAACTTAGCCACTACAGATGGTTTAGAAATAGTGTTTCCTTCTCCATCAAGTTGTGGATAAAAGGAAAGGAGGAGATTCCTTACTGCCAGTGAATGGCAAAAGATTTAGCCAAGTCTCCAGTCTGCGTATTTTGTCTCATGAAAGACCTTCGATGCTGCATTTTTATCTGTTTTTGGCACTGCTTTTCATCACCTTTAACTGAGTGTGAATAATAGCCTGATTTAATTTAAACAAATACAGGTGCTAAAGGTTCTTTATTTATGTATAACAGGGAACATTTCCAAGGCGGAATTCCTATGAAATTCCCTAACCATTTGCTTAAAGAAATGAAGTATTAGATGAAGGAATTGCTTCAACATTCTTTTGCTTCACATTTAAGGGAAGAATCGTCTTTCTTTTCAAATTCAGATTACATAAAACAAAGTCTGAATGATGAGCAAAAATTCAGTGAGCCATAAAATAATAAAAAGCAAATCAGATGATTTAATTTCTAATTGTTCTATATAATCATTTAAATTAGGTAACTACAATAGGCTTGCCTTGAAATGAATCAATTTAATCTCCCTGTTCATAAACCAGCAGCCTGTGATTATGATTGTGTTAACACACCCAAAGTAGCATCACGGGATGTTACGGCCAAGTGTGTAATTAAACATGATGAAATATTTTTCAGATGGCAAACGCAAATAGGCAAAATATGAAGAATTATTCATCACTTACAGACATCATGATTAACAAACTAAGTAAATTTATCCTGACAGCTACGAAAGGGATTTTTTTTCCTATTGAGAATATGGATGTGTGCAAAAGAATGTGTGCAATAAAGCGATTACATCAATTAGCATATGCTAGAGTTAAGCTATTACCAACTCCACTGGACTGGTCTAGAATGTCCTGCCCTCTTCACTGGAATTATTAAAAAATAAACTTACTACTAGAATTATATGTTATGCTTGCCTTGCCTTTTCCGAACATTATTAAAAAATACTTTCTCTACATGTTCAACAACATATGACAACATTAGAACATACAGTACATAGCAATGTAATACATCTGTCTTAATGCAAAAAGATGGGAACAATGTATTTTGGTTTTTGTTTTTGGGTTATTCTTGAATTTAAGAAATCTTTATTAGTTAAGGAATTCACAATTGTAAATAACCGTGTGTGTCAGCTACAACAAATAGCTTGTATCTAATTAAATATAATGATAGAGAATTAATGCTGAGGATGAAACTGTCTATGATGATAAGAAACCAAATACAATGATGAGTTTTTTAAAAAATAGAAGCCCAACTATAACTTGTGAATAACAATATTACCTTGCTCTGTTGGCGTCCTTTGTCAGATCCCAAGCCCAGGTTATAAAATTTTGACTCAGATAAGAGACAATAGATTCAGCACAAAGCATTTGTGAGCAGAACACGTTGGTTAATACACTTTCATCATGGTGGAGGTAGATAGCAAGAAGCTTTCTCTGAAAAGAGAAGAAAAGACTGATGAATTAAAATATACACTAATGTAAGATTTCTTGAAATTTGGAAAGGCATAATCAGTTGATATAAACAGCAAAGACAAACATTAAATGCTGTTCTCTAAAAGAGTACCTGACACTTGGAGTTCCTAAAGCATTTACTAATATGAATAAATATTCTAACTTATACTCTAAAAAGGCTAAAACGATTATATTCCATTTTACAGACCACTGTCACAAATTCCTGTAATTAGTGCAAGCCTATCTCAAGCAAAAATTGCAATCGAATTGCATTTTCTTGAAATAAAACAGATTTACCATTCTTCATATTTAACATATGCTTTATGTGGAAAGGGAAAATTAATTTTGAACTATTCAACTATACAGAGAAAAAAATACTAATTAAGATTGGATGCCAAAATCCCGTTTACAGATTTTTAATGTTTTTAACCTGAACACTGAACAGTCTCTTCTACTTGAAAGGAAAAGGTCTGAAATGAAGTTTTGTTTTAGTTCTACAGGTAATTCCCAAACCCTTAATGTGTTCCCATATTGAAGCATGTAACATCCAATTACCATTTGAAAGGATGGAAAAATGTTCACTTCACATGAATTCTTTCTAGTTTATATTTCTGAAAATGTCCAGTGTAGTTTCTCACATGGAAAATTACTCTTTCACTTTTTCCTGATAAAACTTGATTTCAAGAATGACATTTGCTCTTAATAGTGTTCTCTGTCATAGCTGAACATTCGATAAAATAACTGAAACTAAAAACTAAACTGAGCAAGTAAACTGTAACATCAGCTTTAATAACAAAAATGATGACTGAAGAGCCTGAATTGTTATTGACTAACTTCTTGGTGCTGCCTTGTAGAAGGGCTGAGTTTAAGAATAGTCAGTTACCAGAAAATGAAAAGATAAAATTTTATGGTAAAGACAATGTACAAACCAGTCTGTGACCCTGGCAAAAGGAAATTTCAAGGAAGCTTAGGGTGTTCCCTTCATATTAAATAAGGATTTGATGATAATAAAGAAAAACGTGTAGGATACTAAACAAAAGAAGAACATTTATAGAAAAATATAAGGCTCATGTTGATGACCAGTTAATGAAATCTGATGGACTTATCTGATGGAATTATCCTGATAAATAATCCAAATTATAATAATGAATAATAAAACATTTAAAAAGTAATCATTAAATGTTTTCTTCAAAGGTAAACTTTGTACTATTATAGATGAGCGTAGCCAGAGGTACATAGGTAGATTAAGATTTCAAAAGCATCTACTATGAAGAGGGGGCACTGTTGGTTACACACCGATTATCTAAATACTTTAGTCTCCAAAATAAACCTATAAAATATTCTTAACTTTATTAGCATATAGCATACGAAGAAACATAGCATATGAGGAAAGCTGACTTGTCCAAAATTCCACAACCAGTAAGTAGTACATGTAGGATTGGAACCCAGATTGAGTGACTCCAAGTCTAGTGTTCTTTCTTTGATAGTAGCAGGGAAATCAACCACACTATAGGCAAGGCTTGGAGTCTTCACAGATTATGAAGATGCCAGGCTGGCCACCACTCACACTGAGGCCCCACTGCTTCTGGGGCCTCAGTGACAACACTAGCTGCTTCCATGTGTCAGGTCATTTATTCATTCATTCAACAAGCATTTGTTCAAATATTCTTTGGGCCAGGCCCTGCAGGAAGCAGTGGTGATAAAATGGAGAATAAGAAAGACTCAGGGTTCCTACATCTATGTTGAAATCTGCAGATAATAGGAGCTGGCTTCTAGGAAGTTTGTAATCAGATACATTGTTGTAGAGATACTTATCTGGTAAATTCCTACTCATCCTTTAAAGTTCCTTGAAAATGCCTCTATGAAACCTTCCCTGATTCCCTAAGACAGTTAAAGAGTTTCCTCTTCTGGGCCTCTATCTCTTCCCATTAGTATTGTAATTGTTTACCAGGTTCCCCTCCAGACAAAGTTTCTCAAGTGTGAAGACTGGGTCTCTTTCAGTCTTCTTTGCATCCCTAAGCTAGCACAGGTCTCAGAATATTTGAAGAAAGAAACTTGAATGCTGATTTCAATCACAGATGTTAGAAATCTGCTGTTTTAGGAAACGGAACATGAACCTGGCAGCAGTAACAAATTCAGAGCTCCTCTTCTTAGGAGCTCTCTAGTTGAATAGACAGAGGGATGTCAACCGCTAATTCTGTTTGATCGTATCTCAGCAACTACATTTAATGAGACACTGGGAACAAGAGAGCAGTCTGCTTTTAAATCAGCATATTTCTAACCAAACAATGGCAATGGTTAAATCTTTAAAATGCCTATTTCTCTCAAGAACACTGCAATGGAACATTTAGACTTTGGGAAAGAGATTAGCGATTTACATTGCGATCTCACTGATTTAATTTAAACGCTCTTCCAAACCAAACACACATGTGCCGAAGAGGCTACTAAGAAACTCAACATACAGTGTTCCCTATAAGTGCGGCCGACAGTGTTGACTGAAACTAAACTTGGAAATCCAGGGCACTAATGCACAATATCAAGCAATAAAACAGCATCTCTTTGGCAATATTTAATTTAAAAAAGAAGAAAGAGGCAGGCGAAGATCAGGCACTGTCTGTTTTGGAGGATCAAGCATTCTGCATTTCAAAGCATTGGTCCCTGCAATATCCAGGTTACTGTGCTAGAATCTGCACTATTATATGGCAGTTGTGAGAGGGAGGGCAAAGATGTGTTTACTCAGTGATTAGGCCCTTAGAATAAGCCTCTAGCTCCTAGAGAGACAGCTCACCACTTATTCATTTGGGCCAATTCACAAAGCCTAGGAAGATTAAACATCCATGCTGAGAAGACAAGCGAATGCAGACGGTGAAAAAGAAATAAAAATTCTTTAAAAACTCTGAGATGACTTCATTATTTTTCCACAAGGAAACTTTAGGAAAGTGTTTAGTTAGAGAAAAACCCACATTGACCTCTCTCTAAACCCTTAATCTTTTCTTTGTGGTGGCAATGCTTTGTGGTAAGCTACTGGCTCGCCGCGCCCTCTTTTCACTGGTAGCTGGGAGAAAAAAGGCTCTGGAGAAACAGTTTTCGTTCCAGGGACACAAACCCCTGACACTGTTAAACATGAGATGCCAGGAAAACACACTTAAAAAAAAAAATCTCACTTAAGCTCTAAACTGTGAGAAAGGAGATGATAAAAAAGAGTATCAGAAGAGGATCTTCAGGCTGGGGGAACTCCGGTAGTCGCTTTCAAAAAGGGAAACAATGACTTAAAATAATCTTTTCTCTCTAACATAATAAACTTTAAACAAAAATTTTTCTTGTTATTATGATAGAAATAATTAGCAAAATATAAAAACTCTTAATAATATGCAGATGCTACCAAATTCGGGCTGCATAAATCTCTGATTAAATGATAGGCACGGCTAACTGAACCCCGGATTCAGATTTCTGATTATTTTATTGAGCTCAATTAAACACAGGCCAAAGCAGTGAGAGCTGGCTGGGTTTAGCATATCAGAAAACTGCTTTTGTGAGGAAAGGGCATCTAGTACATAGAAAAAGCCTAAGAAAATGTTTTGTTTTCCATTACTATAACCATTTTTCCCTTTGGCCCATTAATAATTTAATTCAATAACATTTGCAGAGTGCCTGTGTATTAGGCATTGTGAATATAAAAATGAATAAAACAAAGTTCTCTGGCCCTCAAGAGTTGGGAGGAGGGTTGTGTATGGGGAAGCAAAAATTTAACTGCAGTACCATATGATAAGTGATAAGACTGTGGCATTAAAAACACTGAATTTTATTTATGCTTTCTAATTTGGCCGAAATTGTGTAAGTTTGGTAGACGACAAAGGTCAGCAGCACAACAACTCTCTCCTCAGACTCCCTCTTGGGGAATGAGGTTTTGGTAACACAGTGTAAAGGAAAGTCTCCTAGTTTTAAAGGAACAGAATGCTCTGTGCTAGCCAATGACCAGCTGTGTGACCGTGGGCAGATGGGTCCTGTCAGGAATGTGGATAAAGTAGGTCAAGTTCCTATTTATAGCTCCTGGCCCACAGTAGGTGCTGAATAAAATATAGCTGATAGAATGAAGAGTCCAGGATCATCCACACAAAATAAAGGATTTGAAAGCAGTTCCAAGAGAAATGATAGCCATGAAAATGTATTAAAGATTATGCGGCTCCTCCATTTCTCCTACCGGCAGCATTCAAATCAAGGAGCTAAGGTACTAGGTTGATGTTTAGGAAATGCCAAGCTGACAGCAACCATCGTGACTTGGCCTTGAGCTTCAGTAGCTATGGTGTTTAGGACCTTATCATCACAGACCCACAGAACACACAGCTGGAAGAAATGAGCTCAAAATCAGCCAGGCACAGAGCAGACACTCAGAAAATATTTGCTGATGGACTGAAAAGGAGTTGTCCAGTTTCTTTCTGAGTACCAGAACACTCATAATCTGTATGTTCAGTGATTTTAAAGTTGATATGACAAACAACTTCTAGAAATGGCAATTAGCTCATAGTTTTCAGTATAAGAATGAAAAGAAATGTAAAATAAAATCATTTGTGTATATTGAGACCTGATTTTATTTCTCCCTTTCCATTTCCCTTCTTTTGTGTCATCATTATCATCACCATAACGATCAGAATCATCATCGCTATTATTCTTGTTTTTGTTTTTCTTTTAAGTTTGGAGATGATTTTAGAAACAAAAAATTGACACTAATACAACAATCAACATTCATTTATCCTTTACCTAGGTTTATCAATTATTATCGTTTTGCCATATTTGTTCTATCCTTCTTGTTATGCTTCTCCCTGAAACATTTAAAGTTGCACACATCATAACACCTCCACCCTAAATACCTTAGTGTCTGTCTCCTAAGAAACAAGGACATCCCCTTATATAACCATAATATCTTTATCACACGCAAGACATTTAATATTGTTACAATAATATCATCTAATATAGAGTCCTTA